TGATTTCTTCAGTGATATAAATTGCTCATTCTTTCCTTCTTTTGGTTTGGTTCTGATATATTCTATTTGGTATGCGTCTTCAGTGGTAATTCAGTTAATCATTTACATTTGGATTTTGCTAATTTCAATACTAGGTTGGATAGACTTTGATTTGTGTCCTAATATCTTTGCACTTCTTTTAACTACGGTTGGCCCAAATTTCTTCTGCAGTTTATTGTTAAACAAAAGCAACATTTTCCCATTGTTCCCCTATTTTTTTTCCATAAAATTTTCGATTGCTTTCTTTTTTGCTCTGGGTACAGAAAGTCCTAGTGATGGACATTTTCCACCTGGCTCCAAAACTTCTTGCACAGTTAGCTCGACAGCTCCTGTACTGAGGAAAAGAGACCCTTTTGATAACTCAGTTGACAGAACACCATCAACTGATGGCTCTTCTGCTACCACAGCCAGGAAAAGAAGTCCTCTTGGTGGTAATGACAGGAAAACTGGTCCGGCTATATTTAGGAAGTTAGACCACAAGAAGCCTTCTGATTGGAAAGTTCAAATTGTTAGTGATTCTTCTGGTATTACAGTTTCGGAGGATAATCCTTTGAATAGAGGTGAAAGAGTGTTGAAAACCGTTGAGGAGGAAAGAAATAAATTTACCAATCCTGAAATAAAAGGGGCTCTTTTCAATGAGAACTCTGACGAAAAGAAGCAGAAATTTGGCATTTTCAAACCTGGTTCTCTTGTGATGCCATGTGACGATAAAAATTTTGTCGTTGGTAATGAAACTGGAGAACTTTGTAGGCACCAGAGAGAATGTGAGGACCTTTCTCTCATCCGAAAGCAGCTTGTTCAAATTGAAAACCAGCAATCCAATTTGTTGGACATTCTCCAGGTATTTAGCTTCCTTCTACATGTATTAATTTTTTCCATTTGTTTTTAACGCACTGACTTGGATTGATATTTTTTAATTAGGATATCAATCTTGAGATATTTGATTTATGATATCCTCCAAGGTAAAGAAAAAACATTAGGAGAAAAGGTAAGGTAAACGGAAATCAAAAGAATTTCAAATATCAAACTTGTTTGATTGGTTCAGTAAAACAATAAATAATATATTTCCAATAAAATTACATGAAGAGAAGATTGCAAATACAAAAAAGAAAAGAGCATGTTGCCTCTGCAACCACCTTCACCCCCAATTCCCTTGTCAGCCCTTCTGTAAGTAATAGGCTCCGGTTTACTGAAAGTTGTATCCCCCGAGTCCATTGTACTTCCCTATTCATGCTTCGTCAATGAATTTCTTCTTTTCTATCAAAAAATGAAAAGCTTCTCCCCGGTGAAATCATAAATTTTGAACTGATACTGAACTTGGGATAAACACAGTTAAAATCTCCAATCCTCATCTCAGTTAATAAATTGTAATGGATAATCTAAAATACCTTGAGATAATATCCAGAAATAACAAAGAACATTTTGTTGGCCAGTACCAATCGGAGTTGAGTTGCATATATTTTAATGGGAGCTTTAAGAACCGTGGTCTATACTTGGTTGCTTTTTGTTTGGTGGTGGCTGTGGGATCTATATTTGTTGTTGGGGGTGGCATTCTTTTGCATAGCATTGGGCGGGGATGAGCGAGACTGGGAAGGACCTGATTTGATTTTTGCCAAAAGGACCTGATTTGATTTTTGCCAAAATAAGAAATTCTTTTATTACATCTTTCATGAATTGAGTTTCGCTTGTTTTTCTCACAAAATCCCATACCCAAGCAAGGCATAAAGATGTGGATTCCCAGACAAAATTAACATTCTGTTTTCAATTTGATGACTTGAAGTTTTTTCCGAGTGTTGCGTGAATGTCGTTGACTAGAAGGATTGGTGAAGCTAGGACTCAAATTTATAGTTTGTTCTTGTATTTAACCTTATTCGGATTTGACCAATTGCCAGTGAATTGTGTTACAAATCCTAACATCATATGTTCAACATCCTTGTTACTCTGGAACATTTGGTAGTCAACTGAATCCTGCCCGTAGGATGATATCCTTACTAGTCTGGAACATTTGGTTGCCTCTTTGCTCGTATCTCAAATAGCATCAGTTCCCTGCTAATTAAATATTCCCCAAATTTTCAATCTGTTAAGCATGACCCTCACATCTTTTTCATCATTGCCTAATTTAGAAATTCATCGGGAGTTCTCACATTGGGATGCGTTCTCTGGAGACACGTGTTCATGGTCTAGAGCTGGCTCTGGATGAAATTTCATTTGATTTAGCTGTCTCAACTGGAAGAATGTCACGTAATGCTGCAGGTGCCACGTGTTGCAAATTACCTGGTGCAGAATTCTTGAGCTCAAAGCTTTGGAAGAAAAGGGTGGGCCGATTTTCAACCTCCCCATTCTCCATTTTTGATGGGAACGCATCAGCAGCTGGAGTATACAGGATCCCTGACAAGAATGGAGATCCTGAAGTATTTAAGCTGGAGAATAGGAGATATCGACTTCAAGGTGATCGTGGGTTTATTGTTAATCCATTAGCTGAAATCCCTAGACGGTCCCTGCAAATCCCTGAAGTCTCTGAAATGGGAGCTGCAAGGAACATTGCTGCTTGATGTCACTATCACATATATCTGCTCTCAAATCAGCCGGTAACCTCGTCTCTAATGAGCATCTCATTCGATTCTTTGATGATGCTTGTAAATTTGATTTCTGTATCTCATTTTACCTTTTCCCCTTCGGCTCCCAGGCGGGTGTTGGACGAAGGCTGGAGTTATGATATTTAGTTTGGCTGGAATATAAAGATAATTGACTATAGCTTGAACTCTACTGTGAATGGAATACGCAAATTCTCCATTCTACTCGTATCATTTCAAGAAGCTTGTACCTAGAGGAAGCATTTATATCATGAGTTTCCAATTCTTTTTCCAGGTAAAAATTAGATACTGCTGGAAGTGAATGAAACCGACTGCAACTTGTGAGGTCTGATATTAATGATGAATAGTTTGTTGGAAAAGAAAATTTCCTGCTCTTCTAGTAGACATGAAAGCAGACGTGTATATCAATGAATTTTCTCGTTTCTTTTCATTCTTTGTTGAGTTGTAATCATATCCTTTGAAATTATACTCAATGATGCTGTGAATTATTATTGTATTCAATTACAAGAGCTTATGATGAGACAAGACCTTTTTGTTGTTTGAAATTGAAGGTCAACTTTACCTTCTCAACATGATTGTGTTTGTAAAGAGAAGTTTGCCTTTTATAGCAGGAACATGTTCGGTGAGCATGCGTTGTAGGTACATAATTGAAGCATGCTCATTGCAGAACCAGACACTGTGGAAATTATACCTATGGATTGTAACTCGATTTTTGCATCTATATAGAGGAACCTAAATGAATATGTATCATGATCGTTCGAGTTAGGCGTTCACGGTCATTTGGATTAGTTCCTCACCCAGAGGAAGGGGTACTAGAATTTCATTTTCTAAATGAATTGTCAATAATTAGTAATGCAAAATAAATTATGCTGAATGGGTGCTTTACATTGCTGTCCAGACAAATTTAATTCAGAAGTCACTTATCAGTTGTCAATACTTTTACAGGCAAAAGCAGAAGAGAATGTCCCTACGAAAATTTGTCTTTCAAAATAATGTGAATGCCTTCTGCCTTTTGCTATGCACATATAGAGCCATCAGAGAAATGTCTACTCATTAATTATATGACCCCAATCTTGGTATTGATTTTTTACCACCCAGGATTCTGATAACCACATCAAATGTATATTCTGGCATATCTTTGAGATGCAAAACTAAATGCTTCTTAGGCACCTACACATTTTGTGGGATCTACAGAGTACTTCCCACTTATTAACTACTTATATCAATTATAAACAACTTAAACATGCTTTCAATTTCTTGTGTAAATGCATTCTGTATTCTGCAAATTGTCGTTTCAAAGAGGCATGTCCAACAATTCAAGAAATACCTTTGTTGCTACAATTCAAAAAAGGTAAATGTACATCCAAGCAATTTGACCAGAACACGTACAAGCTCAGGAGCTCAAGAAGTTATTCTATAATCAACTAAATGAAGTTTCTTCATAATATATATTCTTAAAAGAGCAAATCACAACTTGAACTGTAACAATACTTCATTCTGACTTTTGATAATCGGATTCCACCTTTTTGGCTTTCTGCAGAAAATTAACCGTGTATTAGTCAACTGTTTGTCAAGAACACCACCTCTCACAATATGCAGGTTGACATAAGCAAAGTCTATGACTCAAGGTGGTAAAGCAAATCTAAGAGCAAATCGAGATCTACATTAACCATGAGCAGCTGAGAAATGGAAGACAGTTTCAGTTCCTCCTCTCTCACTTCCGAACCTTCATTAGTATCTTACAATAAATTTGCCTTAGTTTCTCCCTCTAGCAATTATGACTAGGAAAACACTGTATCAGTAGAACTTTCCCAGTATCTTGTAAAGTCAGTAATCTCACTTTTTTAGGCTGACTCTCCTTCCCTCTAACATTATTACCAGAATGATTTATCTCAGCAGAACCATTACACCTTTGGACTAGGAATGATGCCTTACCCCTAATAAGATTACTGACTTCAAAGGTAGTTCATACACCAAGTACATAGATTTGCGACTTCAAAGGGGTCACATAAGAGTGAAAAATAAACCTTTGCCCATGCTTTGGAGATAGTTGTCTAATGACAACAACTTACATCACCTAATTCATTCAATTTCTCATAAAACTCTACTCAAGCCACTCAAAAATCCCACGAACTTAGAAATGGTGGCTCGGGAACTGTTCACCAGAATCCAAACATCCATAACGTTTTTCTTTCGATATCTTGGATAATGCCATTTGTTCACTAACAACAATATCTATATAGACAATTATGTCTATACGATAATGTGTCTTGTAAGATATGCACACAACATTGTATTATACACACATATACAAAGGTACAATTGATGGGTGATATTTTAAATATATGCAAGGATTATGTGCACACGAAGAACTCTAAATACAGATCCATGATAGTTTTGGATGACTTTCTACTTTAACTTACAAACATTTTTAATAGATTTGAATCTAAAGCTTTTCCAAAACTCACCCCCTTTTAGGGTAAATTGATGCCTAGTTCACCGTAAGAATCGGTATTCAAAACCGATAGCTTCAACCACATTCAAATCAGAAAGAAGTTTCACATTTGCTAGACTATCTAGGCCCGTCATGAAATGTATGCCTCAGACATCGGGCAGTACCAAATCAAAGATGCTAGATTCTCAATTAACAATTGAAGTTGAGAATGAACTTGAGCATGATATCGTGCATAGCATTAATCTATATTGTCCTCGGCGTATGAAATTAACCAATTAACTGGATTAAATCTCGTCTCTATAACGTCCTTCAATGATTATACTTTTATCATCAGAAGAATCAGTAAAACCTCAATATATCACACTTGCAATAACCTCGCAACAGCTCCGGTGTTCTAGAATTCGCAACTAGGGTTCCGTCAATACAACAAATTAATAAACACGCGCATGCATAGATAGGACGTGCTGGGGATGGGGTATACCGATTGGGAAGAGTGCCAGGCGAGGCCGCGGTAGACGTTGACGGAGAAGGTGGCGGCTAGATAAATGGTGGCGACGCCGAGACCTGCTGTGAACGCCTTGAATGCCCAGTCCCCTACCTTGCCCGCCGTTGGCATTTCTCCCTTGGCGACTCGCCGGCGCGTGATGAACAGACACACACACACAGAGTCTCTCTATGCTTTTTGTACAATTACTCACCTCCGGTTCCTACTTCAGAATTCAGAAATGAGCCATTAGAGTTCACCTTGCACCTTCATAAGAGGGTTTATGAATGTGCATTTTTTTAACAGAATAAACGTTGTGTCGGGGATCAATGTTGTTTTACTATTTTGCCCTTTGTATAGTCAATTATTTTGCCCTTCGGTTAAAAATTTCCCTATTTATGGGAATAAATTGTCCATTAAAAAATATATATTTAATTTTTTCTGCTGAAGTTCAATTATTAATTTATTATATATTTTAATTTAACCCTTTAAAAAAAAAATCCTTGCACGTGGAATGGATAAAGTTATCCTAAACAAAACTTCACGAGAAATTCTGTTCTAATATCTATAGAAAAAGTGTTCAAACCTCAATTGGGCACACGCACATTGAAATGTCTCGTGCTGAAAATACTTTTAAGCCGTAATATAAAAGTTTAGAAAGATTCATTTTTGTGCTCTTGACGATTTTGTCTTCAATCGAAAATTCAACAATCGTCATTAAAAACATTAGTTGACAATATATCTATTGAAAGAGACGACGATAATTTTTATACCTTAAAATAAAGATTAAACATATACTCCTTTTTGTCCTGTTGACACATAAAAATTCAACCCAAATCGAACGGCCCAAAGAATGAAATTCAATAGGAGGATCCCCAAATCAAATAGCCCAAAGAACGAAACTCAATCAGACAATTCAGGATGAAGGTCCAAATAAGGAAGCCCATGAACGCGGTAACACCATCGCCCAAACTTGCAAGTCACCCAGGATCTGAGCAAATGGAGTGCCATGCAGTCACCCAGAACTGCTACTCTATTCTCGTCCAAACCTTCGAGTCGCCCAAGGTCTTAGCAAACATGAAGTGTTGTGGTTATCAAAAAGCGCAGTTATTAAAGCAGTCTTATCACGTTCCACGATTCAAGGAATTCAATTGAAGACGGTTGAACGACAAAAAGTAATGACAGCAGTTAAAAAAAACAGTTCCATGATAAATTGGCCATTACGAGGAAAGTGGGTAGTTATAGAACGATCAAGCAGTTTTTAGGCGGTTGAACACAAAGAGATCATCCAGATAGTATAGAAGGAAGAAAAGACATAGAGCAAAAGATCTCGAATCAAAAAACTCTCGAACAGAGAACATGTAATTTTAAATTT